TTTGCCAAAAATGCCTTGAATAATATAAAAAAAAAAGTGAAGGGTATTATTTAAGTTATTTTTATGTTAAAAACACTTTGAATAATAATAAAAAAAAAAACAGGATTATTCAATGTGTTTTTGTCAAAAAAATTTTAAGGAGATTATTCAAGGTGTTTTTTGGTAAAAATACCTTGAATAATTCTTAAAAAATATATATAATAGAAAAACTTGATTAGGCTCGCGAGCTATTCGAGCCAGGTACTAATATACTCGAACTCGGCTCGTTCAGTAAGTTAAGCTGTTCGAGCTCGAGTTAGGTTCAATAATTATCAAATCAAATTCGAATTTTAATTAAATCGAATTCGAATAACTTATGAGTATTAATGTATCATTTACATCCGTATACTCAGCACACCCTATTTTTCATGGACAACCAACCCCTATTTCCTCAAAAAAAAATCCAAAAAATTACACAATCTAACATTGAAAATGTCCATACCACACCTCGAAAATCAAAAAAATTATCCATATCTCTTGACCATAGGACTCAATGCCACCTATAGTCGTCGACAGCTTTCATTTTATGTTAGATTTTAGATTGGATAAATAATTCTTAAAATATAATAAAAAATTTAATGTGGTATTTAATTTTTAAAAATTTTTAATATGATATTTAAATTATAAATTTATTTATTAATATAAGATTTAATTTTAATGTGATCAATTTCAAATAATGATACATAATAGATAAATATTTTTTAAGTATCATTTTAATTAACATATTATAATTTAGATATCACATTACAGATTATTAAAATTCAAATATCATGTTAAATATTTATTATAATTTAACAATTATTTAATATGACATTAACCCTTTTAGATTAGTAGGACATGGTATAGCAAAGTGTTGGCGTGGAACTAGTTGTAGTTTCGATTTATTAGAAATGTAGGAAATTGAAGTTCTGGTGTTGGTTGACAACCAACGATGTGAAGTGAATCAACACAGCACTAATAACACCAAGTTTACTGATCTAATTTTGATACAAAACTGTAGTTGGAGAACTGTATTGCTTCGTAAACTATAACGGAAAACTCCACTAATTCTCAACTTTAATGTCAACCATGGCTGAAAATTCAGAAATTATTGTTAAATATTGCCTTAATTTATAATTTACATATTAATCAGCCACTAATTTTTCTGTGTCTTCCCCATAAAAAAAAACAACTAAAACGAGTTGTGGACAGATCATGGAAAGAGGAGAGCATTGAAAACTTTCTAGGAAAAAAAACACCAGTGCCCAACTAGCCAGCTTTGACAAATCAAAATGTACTAAACCTTGGATATTGATGACCATACAGAATGTTTCCTCCAGAATCTGATTGCCTTAGAGCAGTTTTTCCCTGGAAGAAGTTTGAATCATGTGTCACTGATTATATGAACTTCGTGGACTGCCCGATCAACTCTCCAAAAGATGTGGAATTACTTCGTCAGCGAGGATTATTGATAATTGGTTAGGCAATGATGAAGTGATTGCCACCATGTTTAATATGCTTGGTGACTCTGTAAGCATATCCTGTTATTCCTTTTACTCTGAAGTTTTCAACAAGGTCAACATTTATTGCAGTAGACGCTGGAACAAATGGATTGCCAACTTGAAGCATAACTATTTTAACAGTCCTTGGGCATTCCATTCTTGCTGCTGTTGTCCTCCGTCTACTTAGTATGGTGCAAACTGTATTTTCAGTTCTCTCTTATGTTAAGTAACTGCCAACTCTTGCATGTATTCAGTTTTTGCTTTGTTGAGGGGAAAACCATCTCACATCTAATTGCTTTTAGAATTCCGCCAACTCGATCTTTACATCAATGATGATGTAAAAATCTTTTTCTCAAGAACAGGAAATTTCAAATTAAGCATTGGACTAAAGATCTTTGATTGCAAAAGGATGAGACGACAGAGCAAGCAAGGCAACTGATTTCAGAATGTTATATACATATTTTCACAAAATTTTCTAAAGATTATAGTTCATTCTGCCAGCTTGCATAATAGCTTTTCTTATATTGTTTTAATTGTTCTGTTTCTTCTTTCTTTTTGAATTATTACTTATCTTACAATAAATCATTTCTTATAATCTCTATTAAGGTCACAATTTATTTCAAAATTTTAAATTGAATAGCATTTTTCAATTCTAAAAATGAATAGAAAAAAATGAAATTAAATTGTATATCAATTAATTATTAAATTGAAAAGAATTTTGAATAAAAATTAATTCAAATTTCAAATAGGACACATGTTTAAATAGCAGTGAGAAAATTACATATGACAACCAATATAATGGATCTACTAGACAATACATTTGATGGATATATCATAAATCAAACACAATACAATAGACTTCCTAATTTCACAATTTGAAAATGCGTTGTGTTAATGGTGATAAACTCTGAAGCATCTCTGCATGAAATATAATTTACAAATAATAGAATATTTAGATAAAAATGGTTATAAGGTACCCTGAATTCTTTTATTACTTTTCAAAGAAAAGAATAAAAAATAAAGAAAAACAAAATAGCAAGATCAAGTCTTAGGAAAAAGCAGCAAGCAATAATCAATTACGTTCAAATCACTCTTAGACTAATATTACACAAAAGATAAGTGGTACTAACTTGTAATAATAAGTTCACATTACTCGCAGCAAATAATTGTATTTTAAAAAGTATTTTCAATAATTTACATATAATATATAATACATAATGAAAGAGAGTACAGTTTCTTACTTTTGAAGAGCAATTCCAGTAAAAATGGTTTGCATGAGGGTAAGTAGAGCGATGAATGCTGCAGCAAAAACGGAAATAAGTGCCCATGGACAGTTGAAATAGTTGTGATCCAAGTTGGCAAAGCCATTTGTTCCGGTATCTTCTGCAATATTTGTTCCCTTTGTCAGATACTTCATGGTAGTAGTAGGTTGAGGACTAGAATACTGAGTCAGCGAGCCTATTAGACAGGGTGGCAGCTCCCTCGTCATCACCTAAAAAGTTGTCAACAATTTCATAGTGTGCAAGTATTTCCACATCTTTTCCAGAGTTAATAAGACAGTCCATTAACATGGCATAATCCGTGATATGAGTTATATCTCCGCACGGGGAAAGCTGCTCCAAGGCAATGACATTTCGAAGCAAATAGTTTGTCCGGTTATAGATTTCCAAGGTTGGATTTTCAGAGTCCCTTTAACACACTTAATATCAAATAAGCTTCACCTTTTTTAACTTGATTCTAGCCTCTTTGAGTTCCGTGGCACAACGTGTGAGCCAGGTATCAGTTTCTTCCGTATTTCGATAGGCCGCAATTTCTATAGGTAAGGGACACCAGTATTCTTTATATCAAGTCCAGCAGATGTCCGATTTCACCATTTGTTTGTTTGTTTTTGTTTTTGTTTTGTTTTTGGCTAAATCAGGTTTGATTTTATTAATAGAAAAACGATTTGGAAAGAGGTAACCCTCTACCAATACAGCCTAGATCACCTTAGTCCTTCCATAATAGAACTACAAAACCAATACATTTCATCATAGGCCACATGATTCATTCACCACCACGTAAACATATCTGATCTGTTCACTCCTGCTTTCGCCAGATCATCTACCATTCAATTCGCCTCACGATGAATGTTAACCTTCTTGACCAGAAACAACTCTCTACTTAATACCACAATTGTTGAATAAACATCCTTAAACCTTCATGGTCAGTTGATCTCACTTTAACACCATCACACAGCAACTTTGAGTCAGACTCAATTACCAACCCACCTTATGCCTCCATAACTGTTTTCATAAAAACTTCTAAAGCTAATTTTATGGCCAACAGTTCAGCTTCATTAGAGTCTTATATAATCCACCAGACCAGAAAACAAGGCCAAACCCCTTGGCGTCTACCGAAACTGATACAATCACTTTTGTTGATACCAGAAACCTGTCCAATCTACTTCTTTTACTGCCAGCACCAAGCCAAGTACAACTTATCCCATTTAGTGGGGTAACCACAAGTTCACTGTCGTAATAAAACGATTTGAACTCTGAAGTTCCAAACCATTGTTCACACATCCCCTTTTTTCTGCTGGAGATCTCACAGAGTTGAAGTCCCCTCCCCTGCTGCACACCAGTTACCATTAACCTCGTTCATGTTTTCCATAATATCATCCCAGAGTTCTTTGTTTTTCTTTTTCTATATTTTTTCCTTGCCTCAGCATCACAAAGACCGTACACATTAAGTCACAGTTTCCTCTGTCCAAGACCCTTTGACAAACATCACCTTTCTTCTACATATGATATGGTCAGTTCTGAATCGATCACCATCCAAGATCATTAACAATCCACCTGAGTTGCCAGAAGTCACCAAAAAGCCCACTCAAAGCTCTCATCTGGCCAAATTTGTTTTATCAGAGAATCCGTAATTATCTCTATCTTTGTTTCTTATGTGAATATCATATCCACCTTATGTATATTATCATCTTTTTTCAGCCCCTCTTTCACCATACTACCCTAGCCTCTAATATTCCACTATACAAATCTCATCATAGGTAGAGATAAAACACCAACAGACTTTCCAAAAAAGCAAAACAACAGGCCAAAACTCACCTGGAAAACCAGCACAAGAGTCATTGTTGTAGATGCTCAGTGCCGATTACGTCGTCCCTGACCTCCATTTCCATCAACAAATTAATCTTCTCTATATCTTCACAGTCTGCAATCTTACCCAACTTTTACAATTTTTCACGTTGCTTCAGCTTCTTCCTTACACCAAGCCCTTCTGTTGTTCTGAAAATTGCCATCTGCCTTTCTCGAATGACCAAGGGGAAATGCGTTGAAAACCTGCCTGCCTTTGGAGTTCCTAGACCACCTGCCTTTCTCGGATGACACACCTCGGTCCATTTCACCTAGGCCGTCTTCTTTGGTAGGTCACTCTCTCCCCATAAAACCCTTTTTAGTTTTATCAATCCTCTTAATAACTCCAATTGGTACCTTAAATATAGATTTTTTGCCGACCGACGGAATCCAGTTCTCTTAACTTTTCAATAACTACCTCGTCTCCACAACTTGCTGTCATTCTTACCAATTTGCCAATTTCCCTAGTCGATTTGGCCTCCTCTAATGCCAGCACTCGTCCCCTGTTGCGAATAACCTCACCTGACAAGGAGGTATCTGCAATAATCCCTTCGTCCAGTGCTTTCAAGATTGCCTTCTTTTGTCTTTCTCCCTTTCTCGCCCTCTTTTGTTAAAACTTATAAATTTGTGAATTTGTCCTTAAAAATATAAAGTCATTGTAAATATTGTTTTTGTTTAAGTGAGATTTATTACTTAATTGAATCTGTCTTTTTAAAGAAAAAATTTAAGTTTGATTTGGTTATTTTAAATGATAAATTTTAGTTTATAAAATTAGATTTAAATTTGAAAGTGCAATTCTATGTAAAAAATATTATAGCACTTATAAAAAAAATAATACCAATTTGATATCAACTTATCTAAGCCTTTAAATATTTTTATAATTTATCAAATAATTTAATTATTGAAAATTAATTCTAAATTTTCTTCAATAATTTGATAATAACTTAAAATAATTTTCTCACTTTAAAAATATTCATAGAGACTAGTGTTTGATTTTAAAGAGATTTCATTATCAAATTCATTAATATATTTTGTTAACGAAACATTTAATAAAATCTTTTAATAATTTGATAAGATTCATTTAGATTTTATTATAAAATTACATATGAAATTTATTTTTAAAAAATTCATTAAACTTTTCAATAATTTGATAAAATTTAATTTAAGATTTAAAACTTCTAATAGTTTGATAGGATTAAAACAAAATATATAATTGTTTTTTTATAAAAATTGAGTCATGAAATTTTTCAACAATTTGGTAAAATTTATATATTTTTTTTAAATTTAAATTCATAAAAAATCTTATAATAGTTTGGTAAAGATCATAAATTTATTTTTTTCAAAAAATTATTTTAAGAGAAATAAATAAAAAAGAATTTAAATTAAATAAAAATAACAAACTTACCAAAGATTTGGAAGCGGCTTAGCTCGGCTTTAAGCACAACAGATGGCTGGAACGGCTCAACTAGGATGGCTCAACTCAACTTGACTTGAGGGGAGTGATTAGAATCAGGTTGCAAATGGGGTTACACAGCAAATTGGTTTGGGTAAAAGCAAAACACAGATTCTGGATTTGTAGCAGCTCAAAGTGACGTCGTTTTATAAAAATATAAAAGCTAAAAAAACACTGCTTTTTTTTAGACCGCTTTATTTTCTTCTTCTTTCTCTCTGATCTTCAATTTCTTCTCTTTCTCGCTAGATTCAACCAGCAAAATCAAAGTGAACCCAGAAAACGGCAATAAAAATCCAAAAAAATAACAAAATACCAGACGTCAACTACGAAAAACTTCAAATCTCCGTCGAAAAATTCGAACAATTTTTTAAAAAAAATCCCTGAAACTTAAATTTCAAAAATTTTAAAAAAATTCCAAAAATTCTAAAATGATGCCAAAAATCAACCTAAAAACTCCAATAAAAATTTCAAAACCAAAATTGCTCACTAACCTAAATTCCAAAATAATAACACAAAACATAATAAAGCCTTTAACACCTAAAATTGCAAGAATCTGCCTAGGAATTTTTCTCTGTTCTCTCTGTGTCCTTTCTATTTGTGTTGGAACAAATTTATATACGGGTTCAATTCTCTTTAATTTTGGAAGAAGTAATTCAATCGAGTCCCTGAATTAGGGATGATTTGATCCTTTTTTAGTTTGATTTGTGACTTTCTTTTTTTCATTAAAATCCCAAAACCATTCAATCTGCCATTGATTTCATGTGATTTCCATTTTGCTCGATTTGATTTCTGGGACAATATCTCAAAATTTCTTGATTTTCTTTCCCTTTTTTATTATGTTTTATTTAATTTTTATTAAGCTAATAAAATAAAAAACCAAAAGGAAATTATATGATGGGCTCAAAGCCCAAACACAAAAAAATCATACATTAACCTCAAAGCCCAAAATCATTCAAAGCCCGATTATTGCCACGCCAATTTTAAAGACCTAATAGACATTTTGAAAACCCAATAATCCAAACAAAACCCAAACCAAAATTAACCATTTGATTACCAACCCTGAACGAAACGGGGACCATTCGATTATAAGCTCGGACTAAATGAAGTGTTTATGTCATGTTAAACATTTCAAAAAAAGTAGTCAAGGTATTTCAATCTCACATCGTACATGAAAAGAGAGTCACTGGGATATAAAAAAGTTCACATCACCTCTTTCTTATGAGATACTTGTTATGAGATAAACTTGTAAGGTTAAAGGGACTTGAGCGAATAATACCTCATAAAGATGTTATTTTTTGTGGGATAAAATTGTAAGGTCAAAGGGGCTTGAGCGAATAATATCTCACAAGAATGTGAATCATGATTGTTACGCTAATCTAGGATACAAGATAAGTGCATGCCTAAGTCTTAGAGCTGCACAAGCCTAAAAGTTGAGTTTCGGCCCATGATAAGTGGTATTAGAGCAGGTTCTGGATTGTTTGACCAATGCCAAACGTTTTGAGAGAGGTAGACATAGTGATCAGCCTCTGTGACTAAGTCATCATGAGATTGAGTGGGGGAGAATGTCACGTTAAATCCTTCAAAAGAAGTAGACAAGGTACTCAAATCCCACATTGGACATAAAAAGAGGTAAGTGAAGTATAAAAGAGTTTACGCTATCTCTTTCTTGTGAGGTACCTTTTGTGGAATAAAACCATGAGATCAAAAATACAAAAACAGATAATACCTTGTAAGAATGTGAATTATGATTGTTAAACTAATTTAAGATACCGAATAAGTGCATGCAAGAATCTTGAAGTACCACAAACCTGAAAATTGAATCTCGACCTATGACATTTACACCTTTCTTTCTTCTGGTTTTACTTTTGATAGAGAGAACTTCATCAATCTCCCATAAGCCTTTTCTTCTGGTTTTACTTTTGACAGTTTGCAGCAGCGTAAGTAGAAGGAGCAGGGCAGCGGCCAGAAAAGAAACAAAAGCCCATGGACTGTTAAAATGGTTGTGCTTCAAGTTCGCCATCCAGCTGTTCCAACGTTTACTGCGATGCTCGTTTATCTTGTTGAATACTTCAGTGTAATGGAAGCTGGGGGAGAAGGTGACACCACAACTTAGACCATTAATCATGGTGGCAACTGCTTTGTCATCACCTAACATGTTCTTAATAATTCCATGTTGGCAAAGTATTCCTACATCCTTTGGAGAGTCAATAAGGTAGTCCATAAAATACATATAATCGGTGGCGCGGTTTAGATCTCTGTCTGCTAGGAACAGCTGCTCATACGCAATGAGATTTCGGAGGAAAGATTCGGTATAGTCTTCTACACAAATTTGAGGGATATGAAGAGTCCCATTTTCAAACCATATATCGAACATGGTATTGGTGTTTCCATCGGCCAATTTGAATTTGATTCCAGCATCTTTAAGCTCTGTGGCACAACGTATGAAATCGAATTGATTCTTTTTTGTGAAGTTGAAGGATGAAAGCAGCAGTGATGCATGAAGTCGAGTAAATGCTTGATATCTGATAACCTCAAGGACCTCAGATCGTCTATTGGGCGAATTTTGCCTGGTGCTTTATCATCCAATATCACATAAATTGCTAGCATGAAGATCATATCTTGACCAGCCCAACTACTCTCAATTATATAAAATAACTCCCAAAGGACAAAGAAGGGAAGTTGATTTTCGACTAATAACATGTCGTGAAGCAAAGGATTCCATAAACCATTTTCGTAGCAATCTACTATATCATTTAAATAATTTGGCCACCCCTCAAAACTCGTGCGAATTAGCTGGACAATAAAGACACCATCAAGGAGCAACACTTTAACTAAATCTTCTGCGTCAAGATCCCTCACATTTTCTGCATAGCATTTGCGAGCTTGATCTTCTAATTCGCTCATTTTCCTGACATATGCTAAAAGACCAATCCCTTTTCTTTCTTCAAGAAGCTTTTGAAGAATGCGGAGCTTTTGCTCTTCCATTGCTTTTAAGTGATCCTTGCCCCGGTGATATGGACCGATGGAAATTACCTGTGGTTCGTACGCCTTCTCGTTTTCCTGACGAATATAATTAGGTACTTTGAAAATGCAAGGCTCAGGTGAATTTTCTGATAAATTGGCAAGCATTTGGCGTATGTCAACGGAAACACGGTCTTCCAGTAGTCTTGCCTGTAAATTGCATAAAAATATGTTAGAAATAAAATGCAAAGTATTCATAGCATATCTAAATTAAAATGTCAGTTATTTGTGGCTTTTGTATTTTTAAAAAAATCTTGTTCTTTTTCTCCTCTCTATTCTCATAAATTAAATTATTATTAATGATTAGTAATACTTAAATTAAAAGTATATTCATTCAGTTAGTTAGATTAATTGACTCAAAACTGAATTAATCAAATTATATTATATTAATTTTCTGTTAAACTAACTGGTTTATTAATTTAGAAAATTTAACTAGTCGATTTTAATTCGGTTAATTTTCAAATTAAGTAAATAATAAAAACATTTAAATTAAATTATATCTTAAACTTTTACTTTTTTATATTTGAAATAAATTAATTAAATAAAATCATCCAATAAAATAGTTAAATAACAAAATTTTGTTAAAAATTCTAACAATTTGTAAATGATGGCTTTGTTTGATAACCAAAAAATAACTTCTAAGGAGACATTTGGTTTATAGAATTTTAGAATTCAGAGAAAAGTATTATCTCCAGGAAAGTGCAATACCCAAAGTTTTTTAACATTTTCATAATATCTTGTATTTAAAGTCATTCGTTTAGTTAGAGAAAATTCACATAGATTAACTTTTGTATAATTATTATAATCTCCTCAACATATATAATGGTAACTTTTTATTTTATTTTATTAATAAGAAATACTTAAACAACAAATGAAACCTTTTGCAGCAAAAAAATTCAAATATTTTATTTGATTACTATTTTTATTTATAAAATATCATTGATTGAGATGTTTAATACTTTGCATGACCTAATTGATATAATTATTTAAGGTATTTTTATACAGAAATATTTTAAATAATTTTTTAATTTTTATAATCATTTAATTAAAAAATAAAAAAATTATTTAATACATTTTATGTATGAAAATGTCTTAAATAATTTTTTTAAAAATATTTAAAAAATAAAATTATTATTTAAGATATTTTAAGACGTTTTCTATAAAAAAAAAACATTTTAAATAATTTTTTTATAAAAAATAATTTTTTAAAATAAATTTATTTAAAATATTTTTAGAACACAAACATCATAATTAATGTTTATTTAAGACATTTTTATAAATAATGATCAATTATGCCGTTTTTTAAAATCAAACCGCCTTAAATGATGTTATTTAAGGCATATGCAGTCAGCCTTTTTATGTTGACAAGGCAGTTATTTTGCAAGAAGTGACTGATGTGATCAGCACAAACAAATTCATTTACACTATTATTAATTAATTATTAATATCCTCATTTCGATCATACTCCAATTGGCCCTTTTTTTGTTTCTCCTACCCTTAATTGTTTGTTGCCGAAATTCCACAACACCCTCCCACATTAATTTCTTCTTTTTTTTTTTGGTTTAATGACGAAAGAAGAACCACCAAAAACAAATAAGCAGGAAAATGATACATGCTAATTAGAAAAAAGTTAAAATAATAAAAAAATTCTCTAAATTTTATATTGTTATAAATTTTTATATTTTTCTTTTACTTAAATAATTTTTTATATTTTATTTTATACTCAAATAAATATTTATACTTTAATGTGTATTTAAATTAATTTTTAATTTATATTTAAATAAATAATTAAAATAAAATAATATTTAATTTGAAATAAAAGCTTACTTTCTTACAAATTAAAAAATAATGATTTATTTAAATATAATAAAAGTATAAAAAATTTATTTAAATAAAATGATAAAATTTAAAGGCTTTTCAATATTTTAGTCATTAAAAAAGGCATTAAGATAATCAATAGTATATTTGTGCAATTTCATTGTTAGAAGAAATATTTAAAAAATTGGATTTGAAATTGAACGGATAAAAGTGCTATCCCCGTTCAATTAATTCAATTGACATCCAATCTAAAGAAAATTTTAGAATTAAATGTTGATTTTAGTATTTAATAAGTATTAAATATAATAATTATTTAACAAAAATATGTATTGATTCAATGACATGTTTTTTAATGTAAAAATAAAAAATTAAGTCCAAATCTTAATTTTACATAAATTATTTAAATAATAAAAAATAATACTAAAAAACAATTCAAATAATCAACTGATCCAATTTAATCATTTAAATAAAAATTATTTAATTTAAAATAAAAATTAACAATAAAAGATATTTTAAAAAATAAAATTATTATATAAGACATTTCTTTAAAAAAAAGCCTTAAATAATCATATTATAAAAAAATTAAATAATTGATTAAATTAAATAATCCTATTAAATAATTGACGTAATGATTATTTAAAGTGTTTTTAGGACACAAATATCATATTTAATAATTATTTAAAGCGTTTTTGTGAAAAAAACACCTTAAATGATCATCAATTATAAGGTTTCTTCGACCTAAACACCTTAAATAATAGATTATTTAAGGTATTTTATCTGATTAAATATCATTAATTGCAATATAATAAAAAGTTTTTAACACAAAAAACTTACAACTGAATTACAGTAACTTCCAAATATGTTTTTCAAAAGGATAATGATTATTTCATAATTTTTTATTTAGATCAAATTTAAAAATAAGGTAACTTTTCTTTTGAAATCCTAAAATATTATAGGGAGATGTGAGTTTTTGATTTCGAAACTTTAGATATTGTTGAAAATCTATCACTTTCCTTTGTAATCAGATTATCCTAAACCAATGTAGGAATCAAATATCACCATCAAAATTCTAAAAAAAAATTTATGAATTTTTTCAAACCAAACATCCTTTTAAAATAAAATATTTTCCATGACAAATATTTTTTGAAAAAGACAAAATTTTCTGTTATTCGGAGAATTTTTTAGAAAATAGCTTTTAATGTTTGATGACAACATAAAAAATATTTTCCACTGGCTTTTATCAACTTTGTTTTTTTTTTCATGAATATTTCATATTTTAATATCAATTTTCATGATTTTAACAATAATAAATCCATCAAATATCCATAAAAGTTCATCAATTAAAAACTCAACAAATCCATGTTCATAAAAATTCAAATGGAAACCCATAAAAATGCATAATAATTTATGATACCCTTTTCAAATTGATAAAGCCCATTCAAAATCCATTCAAAGTCTTTAAATTGAAAGATCCTTTCATGGTAGGTAAGTTTTTGTTAGAGATCTTTTCATTAAGGTTGTGGTTTTTATACAAAAATTATTTGGAAATGAAAAAAAAAAATTAAAGAACTAAACAAAAATGAAGCATTATGGGATATTTGTGGGTTTCATTACGATTATAGAAAAAAAAAAAAAGAATTAAAGAAAGATTGAATGATTTGGAGAAAAGAGATAAAGATTTAAAGTTACTTATGGGTTTTTTGAAAGAAATAAAGCAAAAATGGGTTATTGTAACTGAAACAAAAGCTAGAGTTGGAGCAAACATCCTTACCCACTGAGAAAATAAGAAGATGCTGCAGAAAACAAGGAAGTGGGGAGAACTAAAAAAAAGAAAGTGAAGAATCTCCCTTGATAGCCAATGGTGGCTGGTGATGGAGAAAGAGATAAAGCTTACGAGAGAGTTGGAGGTTTGTCAAGAGAGTTCACGGGTAAATTGTTTTCCGCTTGAAAAAAAAAAGGAAGACAATTTCCGCGTGTTGTGCTTTGGTTTTTGTTGATAAAAAATATTTTCAGTTGACCATGATAATTTCACCTCTCAAACATCAAAAAATGTAGAAAATAATTTTCAAAAATGAATTTCATGATTACCAAATGGAGCCGAAATGATCCGATGCTTTTCTCGGCTTTTTGGCTAAAAGATGAAGTGAAGATCAATTCAACCCCTCTGAGAATTTCAGCTCATTTACCACCTTTGATTTTTTTAATTTTAAATTACGGTTTAACAGAAGAAACCTATATTAATGAGACAGGCATGATCAGTTTTAATTTTTAGATTTAATGATACAAGATACTTACTTGTTCAGAGTGCCATGCCATGAATGCAAATGTGTTTCACTTAGTTTCTTTGTTGGAGGTTGCAAACAGCTACAAAAAATTTGTATAAGAAATGGAAATTATGGACTCTATATAGGCATGGCATTCTTCTAGCTCAAATTTCTGGTATCAAAGCAATGAATTCTCAGCAAATACGATTTGCTGCTCCAGGATGGTTAATAATTGAATGATAATTACAAAACAAGCAATAATGTAATTAACCTAGTCACTTTGGACACAACTTGATCCTTTTGGAGAATAAAAATTGTTTTTTTTCTCAGTTCAAGATATGTATAATTATGTATATTTTGTTTAGTGTGTAAATTTATTCTCTCCTCAAGATTATGACATGGGCCAGCTCCAACATCAAGACAAGCTTATCATTCAAGTCAACTTTGTGTTAGCATCAATTTTATGTTAATTTTGTATCAATTTTATTAAAGCTATTTTCATAAAGGAGAGTTCCTCTATTTTATTATAATTACTTTGTTAAAGTTATTCTTCTAAGTTGTCTGTATTGCTTTAGGTCTTTGTCATGAACCCCTTGGTCATATTACATTCTATTCCTCTATTTTTTCATTTAGACCACACAACGAGAAATAATTCCCTTTGACCATTATATTATCTAGTTCAAACTATATCCACAAATCCAATCATATACCTTATGACCCGCAATAATCAAACCAAATATGTTCAAATACGTTTTCTTATGCTTTTGGGTTTTATAAATTGTAGGAGTTATATTATATTCTTTGATCTTTTAAACAGCTTTAAGGCTTCTTTCCCCAGAAGTTTTGAGAAGAATCTTGTTTCCTTCATATAGCCCTTTTCTTTAAACACCTTCTTTATTATTTTGTTTTGGTCCAAAGGCAGCGACCACCAATCAGATGATGAAAAACTGTGGACCAGGTTTCAGCTCAGTCAAGCCAAATTTTGCGGTATTAATTCAGAGTTTATACAGCTGATTCCAAAGGTGGATATAAAGGCACTTGTAATTTTAGAAATTTAATTTTTTGGAG